CAAATTTTAATACAAATAAGGTAGTACATATTGCACAAAATGTTGAAATCATTTATACAATAAAACCCTTAAATACACCCCCTTGCCTAGTTTGCTTGGGCAGTACATATTGCATAAAATGTTGAAATCATTTATACAATAAAAAAACCCTTATTAAAATACACCCCCTTGCCTAGTTTGCTTGGGCCGCTTGGCAGGTAAATTCCGATTATACATTTTAAGATTGACAACTGAAGATCACTGAAGATTGTGTTCTCCATATTTTTAACAACGGAAGTGCTCTAACTTCTCTTGAGCCGAGAGCTTTTGAAAAACCTTTGTCTACCAGGAAACGTACCAAGAAGGCAAGGGGTTTATATTACAACCCATAGAAACACTCTACTTTGAAATATATTTTAAAATATGATTTTAAAAAAGTGAAACTTACTTGAGAATATCGTCAATGCAGAGGGCACAAAATTGATGTCCACAGTCTCGCACTTGGACGGGATCTTTTAAAACTTCCAAACAAATAACACATTCCCAAGAATGTCTTGCAGCATTCTGGTCTTTAAACCACTTCAATGGGTAGCCCGAATGACCGTTTGTGGCCATTTCAACACAAAAATTCAACCCGGAAGCATCCTGCTTCGACATCGGGGAAGCTTCTTCTGACTTTCTGTGAATTTCCGATTTATGAGTTATTTGATCTCAAAATCAAATTATAGACTGGATGGGTAAATGAAAGGAAGCTGGATCCACAGAAATAATAGATGCCTTCAAAGAACTCAAAATCTATCCGACTATCCCTAACTACAAATTACACAACAAGACAAAGATTTGACGATGAAAACGTAGGTTTAGCTTTGTTTATATAAGGGCACGCATGAGAAAAAGTGGAGACATGATTCGTGATCAAGTACGCATTCTATATCTATTATTTCTATGGGAGGATCCCACCCGTTTTGAGTGTTGAATACAAATATAAGCAGTACAGCCCAGAGAGAGAGAGAGAGGGGGAGGGGGGAGCAATGCAAGGAATCCCATTCTATTACTAAAGGGGTTTGTTTTTCTGTCAACTTGTCTATTCTGTGCCGATAGGACTTGTATAAAGATCGATCGCAAAACAGTTTTTATGTAATGTGGTGGTCTTGATAAGTCGAACTAAAACTACCCATAGTCAATTGAATTTATAATACGAGACCTCATTATCTATGTTTTTGTCATAGTTTTAATAAATATGCACAGTTAATAGAATAGATGATTTGGAAACTCATTAGAACAACAATATAACTCATTATCTATGTTAGTCAACGTTTATTCATAAATCTGGTCCTTCACCGTCACGTGCGTATTGTGTTTTTGCCCAACCAACCAATAGCAATGTTTTAAGAAAGTTATAAAATACCTATCCGTGACTCGACAATTGGGTACAATGGAAATTGCTATTGGTGGATTTGGCAAAAATACAATACACACGTGACGGTGAAGGTCCAGATTTATCAATAAACGTTGACTAACATAGATGACGAGTTATATACTGGAATTCTAATGAGTTTCCATCTATTCTATTAACTATGGTTTATGCAGGGAATAGTCGATTCACGGCGTGAAGATGAACCCACGACCATTTCTTGCCGATAAACAAAGACAAAAACATAGATAATGAAGTCTTATTATGTCTACATAGAGTTTCCTAAACTTATTGCATTGACTATGAACTAGCCAATTTTCAGCTGTTATTTTGAATGGTGTATACTAGTTATTCACTCGAGTTAATAATTCCAATGCTTAGAGTTATCCGAAGGTGTAAATCGGCTAATTCAGTCTAATAATCAGTCTGAAAAAGTTTTATAGTGCATTTCAAAATATAAATCAAAATAACAGGATAAACAAAACTTGAATGTTATTCCTTGAAATTTCGTTATCATCTCAGATTTTGTATTTCTTCCAAGATTCTTAATCGTGGTCCCAGAGGAATTCCAAGATTTTGTAACCGTTGTTCGGTCATGTAGGGTAATTCCAGGATTCCAATCTCTTCAGCTTTGAAGTGCGGAATGAAGCGCTGATGGATTAAAAACACGAAAGATATTAAATTTAACAACAGTGAGCGATAAAAACAACAACGACGACGACGACAACAGCAGCAACAATGACATTAAATGTCCAGACACACCGGACGCGATTCGACAACGCGACACGATTTTTTAGTTTTTGAAAGTTAATAAAACAGTCAAAGAGAGCAAATTTTGAAAGATATGTAGACTAACTCAAAATGTTGCGACGCTTCTAAATATTTGGAAAATTTAAACTAGGATCAAAGATATCGATCAGTGAAAATCGAAAAATCGCGTCGCGTTGTCGAATCGCGTCCAGTGTGTATGGACCTTTACAATGGCGACAACAACGACTGAACTACAACAACGACTAACTACAACAACAGCAACAACAACAACGGCGACAACAACGACGAAGACGACAACAACAGCAACAATGACAACGACACAGACAACAACAACAACAACACCGACGACGACGACGACGACGACAACAACAACAATATCGGACAACAAGGACAACAACGACGATGACAACAACAACAACGACGACGACGACAGCAGCAGCAGCAGCAGCAACAACAACAACAACAACAACAACAACAACAACAACAGCAACACGAACGACGGAAACAACGACTCCAACAACGACAGTGACAATGACGACAACAAACAGCAATATTTTGTAGCGCCACATACTTCGTATCCCATTTTCTGTAATAAAAGAGAAACCATGGGCGGTTCTTCTCCAAAGAAACTAAAACCCAGAAATTGAGAATATCGTCAATACAGAGGGCATAAAATATGTGGAAAAGTAGGATGGCAACTGGCAAGAACGCCTGCTATATACCTTTTCAATTTCTGAAGCCTATGCAGCCGTTGGTCGTAATCTCTTGAACGTTGTGGAATTTGTTGACGAGAATTATTGCCGGAATAAAATGAATCTTTGAATTCATTCACATCCACACGAAGTTCGTCCAACTGTTGGCTCGTCTCGGCCTGGTTACGAATCTCTGACCGGATATGATCGATATTTCTCGCAAGTGTGACAATATTCGACTCGATTCGGTTAAAACGTCGATTTAAAGATCTAAACACGAATTACAGTGTTACACTGAACTAAAATGATAAAGTTTTCAAGAAAGGAAACTTGAATTTGCATATCTTTGCATAGTGT